AGATATGTTAAATGTCTCTCTAGCTACATTTCTGAAAATACCAAGGGTACTGACTCGCACTGGAATCGATCCCACAATCTCCTGCCTATGAGACTTAAGAAGGTAACTACTTTTGGCGCTTTTCAGCTTCATGACATCTTTCAGGAATTCCTTTCACAGATAGCGAAATATATTTCAGCGTTTAGAGGCACGTGGCAGGTATGCATCTCATTTCAAATGGCCAGACTGTCCACTTGACCCTTCCTTGTCAGTTCGGAAAGCCTAAGCATAGGAAGACCCCCAAGCACAGAGTTCGTGCACTTGTTTTCTCTCAGTTATTATATACTACTTGTATGATAGATCTCTTCGATTTTTCCGTGCCTTCCAGGACTTCGAAAAGCATAAAGCGAGGAATTGCTATGGGTGCAACACGAATGGGCTTAACCCATCCTGGGGGATATGAGCAGGTACAAATTCAGAGTATTCCTTTTTATAGTGGATTTTTTCGCTTGTTAAATTAAGATATAATATACACACATTTCTAAGGCGACAGCATTGGTGCAGATCTTCATGGACGGTACGGTTGCAGTTTCGATTGGAGGAATAGAAATGGGACAAGGATTGAATACGAAATGCTTACAAGTAACAAGTCGTGCTCTGGGAGTAAGTTTGTGAATTTTTAGGCGTCATATTCAACCCTGAACGAAAAAAAGATCGCTGGCTGTTGATCAAGAAGACCATGTCGAGGCGTGGAACATTCGGCGGTACTTGTGCTGCCGCTTTCGCTGCTGCGCCGCAACCAAGGTCAAACTCATTGCGTAGCTCTCAACGAGCGGGTCGTATTTTGGATTAGTTAAGGTCAAAAGTTGGAAGAAAGGGGTTTCAATTCCTGAAGGCTGACGGGATCGTGACGGTAGCAGAGGGGAGTCGTGTTCGGGGAGTTTGTGACGATTTTGGGAGAGCTTCATGAATAAAGCAAGAAGGAAGAAAAGTTAAGGACTTTCTTTTTCTTAAGACATATTTAGTCCCTCCCCCCTCCCTTGTATCGACGGCCGTTTTGGAGGGAAGTAGTGGGAGGAATTTGGCTGTGTTAACTTTTCTCGGAATTAAATATTATAGAAATAGCAACGGTGGTGGCGTTCGTGGTCGGGGATGGGTTGGAAAGGCTCGGACTGAGACCTCTCAAGATGGGGGGAGGGAGGGTTTGTAAATTTTTATAATCTGTGCAACGCAGGACAGACCCTAGCCGCAACTGCTCTTCTTGTCCGACAGCCTCGTATATCGAACTGTTTAATATTCCAAGCCGATTAAGTACAGGAGTAACTTATGTGAGTGACAAAGTGGGGTCTCGCCATTAGGGGTGGGGGGGGGGGTGTGGTTCACAGAGCCTGTAGTCCATTTTTTTTGTCAGGAAAGGATGCTTCGTGGTTGGTGTAAAAGTGGGAATGAGATTGCTAACGCGCCCCGGAAGTTTCTTCCTCTTCCTTACCGCAAGTGACCAATACCGATCTTAAAGGCACAGGTCACGACTAGATCCTGAATTCTTTTCTCCAGCAAAGTAGAACAGATCACAGAAGTGGTGGTATTGTTGAAAAAAATTGCGCGACAAGGGAGCTATCGCTCTTTCCCTCTTTTTGCAGTGCTCTTTGTCTTCGTCGTACCAAGGTCCACCTCACATAAAAAATTTCATGTTTTCTATGGTGTTCTTCGCTTTGTTCTGAGTCACTCCTCTTTGCACTCCTTGTCGTTGTAGTGTCGCGTGCTACGTGCTGTCTCATGTTTTCCCTCTCCTCGCAGCGCTGTGTCTCTTTGCCGAACCTTCGCCGATCTCAGAAGGAAAATTACAGTGTTTTCTATTGTACTTTTTCTCCCCACTAACGCTCCTCGATCCTCTTCTTGTCTAATTTTCTAACAAAGCAATTGATAGATCGACCAATTCGATCCAAACTCGCGCCTTTAGGCCTCTTCGTTTAATTTAGGTTTGAGTCCATGATTCCCTCTGTTAAGCGAATGGGTATGGTCAATTCTCAGAAGTATGTTATCCTCTAAAACTTATGGACACCACTAGTAGGAAGACCTGGTTTAGTTTCCCAGATAAGGGACAAACAAGGCCTGAAAAGATGTAGGCAAGATACGAATGCTGCCAGCGGTCCTTGATATTAGTTTAAACGTCATCCCATGATAGTTTTGCTCTCCCTGAATCAAGAGCTTATGGCCACAATTTACCCAATGAACATTGCTCAACCCTAGGTTCACCACTCTGGGGTGAGAAAAAACCATGCTGTCAGCGTTGCTCTGTTGGCCTCGGTCAACCGTCTGTTGGAAAAAATTTTGAGTGTGGACGAGCCGGACGTTCAATTCTTTCCGAAAGTGAGGACACCATTGTCAAGCGTTCGGTGTGGGATACCATTAGACGGTGAAGATATTGAATCCTGTTCATCTTACCCCAAAATGTTTAGAATTATGGCTTCACAGTGTTCAAGTTTTCACTGGACACGTTCAAAAGGCCGTCGAGAACGGTCAAGGAACAGCTATCACAAAACAACCAGCAAGCGCTTTTGTAAATCACTCTGTACACACTGATCCGATCGACACTGGATGAGACCGTCCAGGAGCATCGAAATGGGCTCGGACCCCTCCTGCTCCTGGAGGGCTTCAAAGGACGACCCCCTACAGCGTTCGGTAGCATTCATAGTGTCATTAAAGCAGCCACCACTTGATCCACTTTGAGGCTGCGCAAACTCCAAAGAGTGCATCAAGTTGAGGAGCGTTACACAACTGACTGTTGAAACGACAGCAGTCGACAAATTTCTGTAAAATTCTCCACAATATGTTGAAGTTTTTCCAACTTATCAAAAATGTTCCTTTTCCACTCTCTCATAAGTGCTACCCCTATCCTTTAAATACGACCCCTGCTAATTGAGAAAATCACCACCTACGGTCAACCCCACAGAAGTCTACTCCTACATATATCATACTACTAGTCAAGTTCTTTTTGCGGAACCCACAATTGTGGATTTTTTTTCATTTCAGATTCCTATTTCTTTGATAACGATAATTGATGCGAGCACGGATAAAACTTGTAATACGCCGGAAACCGGAGGAAGCCAGGGAGCGGACATTCACGGACGAGCGATTCAGGTACGCTGCTGCACGTTCAGAAAATATGAACAGATTACATTCGTTGATTCATCCAGATGTGTTGTGAGAAATTGATGACTGGCCTACGCCCGATTCTCAAAGAAGAGCCAGACTGGCAGAAGGCCGTCATGAAAGCTTATCATATGAAGCTACCACTGCAAGCATCAGAACATATGTGGTAGGCTTGAAAATATGTAGCTACTATACGGCAAACGAGTTTCAGGCAATTAAATTATTGAGTTCTCAGCATCGAACGAGAGAAGCACGGAATTGCTGCGGATTCGTCTACGTACCACACTTCCGGTGCCGCATGTGTCGTCTCACAGATCGATTGTCGTACAGGCGAACAACAAGTATGAACATCTTACGCTTTTTCCCCTAGTTTTATTTTTTATACTTGTGCTGGCTTATATGCTTTTCCGTTTGTAGAGGAAATTTTCATACATGATTGCTTCGTTTTATGAGCTGGTTTGGAAGTGTTCACTAAACGTACTTGCCATCTGGCCGCTATTCTACTCAATATCAAATATAAACTGGGAAACTGCGAGAAAGATGAACGGGGAGCAGGGTACCGCGCAAGAGGAGAGGGGATCGGATTTAGTGCTGGGGAGGAGAGGTTCGGGCGCAGGATCGGCAGTAAGAAGTCAAACGGTATTTCCGTTAATTTCAAACGCACGGCGCATTTTTGAACAAAATTATTCAATAAGCAAAGGTCGTGGAAGTGTGGCAACGTGCAAACAAAACTCAAAACAAATTTCTCAACGGTATACCCATTACTTTCATTAAAGGAATCTTCCACGGAAAAAGCTCCGCCCTCATTACCACAGAAAACGATACCTTAAAGGAATCTTCCACGGAAAGAGTGATCATTTTGTCTTGTGTGTAGGATTAGTATTATCGAAACTAACGCTTATGTTCCGTTCTTTTTGCTATGCTCATGAGGCTAGGGGCCTAAGGTATCGTTTTTCTGTGGTAATGGAGGCGGAGCTTTTTCCGCGGAAGATTCCTTTAACTCTTAAAAAGTGAAGGTCTTCATTTGCAGCGATTCTTTTTCCGAAAGAATGCTTTTGAAGGAAATCGTGCCTCCTAAAAGTGTAAAAACTCGCATATTCCCGCTTTCATTCTGTCGTAAGAGTTATTTTTCATAGCGCTGCTTGAGTTTAATTTGCTTTAGATCGAGAAACTTCCAAATTTTCTTTCAGATTTGTAATTTGTCCACTTTGAATTAATAACCATTTGAAATTGGCCACAGTTTTCAATTCTTGCTTTTGCGTATAACTTGCCCCAGCACCGAAGCACATGTTGCAACAGAAACACATTTCTTCATGTCATGTTTGCGCTCAGATAAGGATTGTACATGGCTACAAAGCTACTAGGGGGTCGTACTTGGAATTTATCCTTGACGCTAAATGAACACGCGTGGAATAAAATGTGCAGCCACTTAATTTTGGCTCGTTTTGTTTCTTAACTGCTGCTTTAATGCCGCAGTGTGTGCGGTGCAGGTTCGAGTCCGCCTAGGACGAAAGTTTTGCTCATAATCCACTATTTCTGTCAAGCACTGTTTCTGAAAAGCATGGCATGAATTTGATTCCCACTGGAGCGCAACTTAACGTTGCCTCATCATTGTACAGAATACCTGTTGTAATCTAAGTCCTTGAAAGGGTTCAGTGGGGAATTTTTTTGATAAGGCGATGTAGAGGCAAGTGGCACTACTGCGCACGAGCACGATCCCGTACTAGATTTGCTTGCCTGTTGGGATTTTTCGGATGAAGCCTCCTTCGGACCAGAATGTTTTTGTTTTTGCACGTTGGATCATGAAGTCGCTCACACTCTGGCTTGTGATACTTCTTTGGCAACATGATGTAGCAGTGTGATTAATTGATCTGAGGAGCTTTCTCTACTCATCCGTAGTTTTTAGGGCCATTGACCTGCTTATTTCCTATTATTTAGCTTCTTTCCGTGGATATTGTGATGGATGTGGGAAGAAGTCTCAATCCAGCTATAGATATTGGTCAGATTGAAGGCGCATTTATGCAGGTGAACGAATTTATTCCCATCACCTTTTCCTACGTCGGGTCTCATTTCTGCGTTCTCCTAATCCGCTCTATTTTAGAGTTACGGCAATTTCACATGTGAGGAAGTGACATACGATGACAAGGGGAAACTTATCGAGGATTCCTTCGATAAGTACAAATTACCGACACCAGCAATGACTCCGAAGAAGCACGTTTGAATGCCCGCGTCAATGTGGTGCTGCTTGTCAATTACGTGCTTTCAGATTCCGTGTAAAGCTTCTCAGGGATTCCGACTGTTTCGAGGGACAAGTTTACTCTTCGAAGGTAATCATTCAATGCTTGGCTCCAACAATTCTGATGTGATGCCGTCACGGATCAGTTCTTACTAGCCGTAGTCTGTGATAGCTGTGCACGCCACCGTTCCTCTGCGCGTAGTTACTGCTTGGCGCTCAGTAAACCCGCTCAGTTGTCGCATCTAGCGATCATGGCCACGGGTTGTTGTGGTCTGGTCTTGCTACGTCTTCCAGAGAACATGTTAGGACTTGAGGGCTTCAGCGCCGCTCCGAGGAAGTACTGTAGGCTTCTGCGCTCACAGCGGCGTGATAATTCACCCGCGCTGCGGATTGTGGGTGCGCATTACGCGAGCGCGGCGCCTGTATTGCCGCATCGCCGCATTCCCCACCTCCTGACACACCTTCTCTTTCGTAATCAGTGGTTAATCGAAAATCACTTGCAGGGTATTGGTGAACCACCGATGATGCTCGGTGTCGCGGCGTACGCCTCTATTCGACACGCGATCGCAACACGACGACAGGACCTCGGCAAAACGGATTTTTTCGAAATCAAGGCTCCACTAACGGCCGCAAGAATAGTATCGTACTGCAATGATCAGTAGAGCTGTAGTTTTAATATTCGAAATAGATTGCAGTGTAAATACTAATAATGAAAAGCATATCGTAATGGACGTAAAAACACGCTGTATTAAATTACACAACTACAATTGTAAGCTAATGGTTCCCTCAATAAAGTAAGGTTTATTCTTCAAAAAATCTTTTTATTTGATGAAATTTTCTCACGTTAACGTAATCGTAATCTTCGCGTAAAATAGAAATAAGAAAGATAAAAAAATATAGATGAGAGAATGGTAGAAATATATTCCTTCCGATAAGGGTTGTTAGAACAATAGAGTGCACCATGCACTGACACTGGACTAAGATACGCATGTTTGATTGACAGCCAATTACGTGGAGGATCTAAAGTGCCGTTCCACAGTCACTGATACTTGGATGCTTCGAAGGATCTTCAAATGCAACACAAAGTATATTCTCCTAAATCCCGTCCTGTGATGCTAAAGTTTGATTATTCTAGGAAACTTAACGAGTTCGAGTTTCTGTTCTTCACCCTACCAGAGCACGTAGTGATGTGCTGGAAGATGGGATTTCATTTCTGGCGCGAGCAGGGTTTGTGGCGATTCCCGTTCGTGGTGGAAGGAGAAGAAATAAAAATTCTATCAACTCGAAATTATTTACTCTTAGGCAAACAGCATCAAATACAATTGAGTATATACACAACCATATGTAAATGATCATACAATCAAAAAAATTCATATGAGTCACCACCGTATCGCACAATATAATGCAATGTGTTTTAAGTG